TAGTAAATTTATTTATAGGTATAATTAAACTTATTCTATGCTTAAAATTACATATTATTATTTTTTAACTAGTTCATAAAATATTTTTAATATCCTTAATATTTACTGTTTACGTTATCAATTTGATAATATCATTTTTAAATTTAACGGTAGTGAATCATAAAATGTTTTTGCATTTTGACAGAAATTGATTTTAAATTGTTTTCCCATAAATGCAGTAAATTAAGTCTCTCTTTCTCTCTCTCGCCCGATTCGCCATTACTCACACAGCTGTTGATCTCGAGGAACTGTAAATGCACCTGTCTCGCTCCCCAGCAGGTTGAATGCACCAAAGCGAAATGGGATAAGTGATGGTGGGAAAGAGAGGAAGGAACAGGGGGTGGGTGAGGGCGAGGGGGGCGAACTGCGTGCCAAAAATACACGATGTTTGACTGCTCCCCCTTTTCTATCTGTTTAAAAGTGTGTGTAAGTGTGTTCTTAACTCGCTGTCCTTTTTCAGTTCTTCTCCTTTCTCTCCTGTTCAATGCATTTCTTCTTCTTCAACCTTGTGCCCTCATGTTTACATGACTGCAACTGTGTGCACCAAAAAAATTCACCCTCTATTTGTAGCTCCAACTGTAACCGCATAATTTTAGACACTGAGAACGAATCCTTTTCTTATTATACCAGAAAAAAATGGGGTCGCTTTTGCCCCATCTTTTTGAAAGGCAATGCCAGTGATAAAACACACAAAAAATATTTTTTTTTAACTTATTTTTATAGAACGTTACAAATTAAATACAAAACTTACACTCAAAACTATCTTTTTTTTTAACTTTAACCATTAAAAAAATTTATTTCAAAGACAAAATAAAAGTGTTTTCTACTATTTCTCAGCGTACAATATTGAGTCTCAGCCAATAACCTTGTCGCCAAAATCTGCTACTATGCGATCCCCAAATCAGGGCACCAAATAAGATAAGCATACAGACTTCCGAACAGATTGGAGGTCTAAACGAATTTCTGTATTGCTCGTGGAGGGCAGACAGTGAACATTTGTAAGGCGCACCTTGTTATCAATCACCTCTTTTACGCATTGTTTGGAGCCCCTTTGTATCTCCGTCTCGGTTTCTCTCGCAACTGCGTCGTTTTAATTCCAAGGGGTATGGTATGGGGTATATGAATGTACGCTATAAGGTTTGTGGCTAAAAACTGATGGTAAACAAACTGCAATGGCCAGCGAATGCGTTTCGGATTCACCACGGCATGTTAGACGCCCCCAACTCTGTTATCTCCGCCTGCAGGGCGATATTTTCATTTTCCACCTCACGCGGGTGTTGTTGCTGAAAGCAGGAAATAATTTTCGTTTTCTATAGAAAACACTGCTGCTGCCGTCGCTGTTGCGTGTCTGATATTTTATTTTTAACGCTCTGCGACTTTATACTACGTAAATATGTGTGTATGTGTATAGTATGGCTCGCATTTAAGTTTGCTTTTTTACGTCTCGCATAATTTTGGAGCTTTTCTGCCTGCAACCTTGCCTTTAAGTTTACAAAGTTCGTTAACATTAGCGTGTTTTTACTGTCTGTCCATTTAATTTGTTATTATTTTTGTTTTATTTCGGCTTATTTATCAATGCGACAAGGTTGGTGCAGAACCAATTTTGTAGGCAGCCAGGCGACCTTTGATAGCTGAAATATTTGTCGAGAAACTTCACAAACTGGTATCTACGGATCGTAAATGATATTTTATATTATTTATATAAACACGATCACGTTGGAGCCTATGACCTCTAATTAAGCGAATTCTTAGCCCCACTCTGGCTTTTCAAATTGCCTTTGCATTTGCTTTGCGAGTGATCGCGAAAAATAACATTTCGATCTAGTGGAAACATGGTCGAATGGTGGGTACTCTGTAATCGCTTATGTTATGAAAAATATTTAATAATTTAAAATTAAAAAAGTAAAAAGTAGTGTGCTAGCATAAATATTTTTTTTCAAGTGTTGTAAAACTTTCAAGTGTGTACTGCACTACACTCTTTACCAAACTATTCAACACCTGTGTCCAAAGTGACATATCATTTGACTGATTTATTTCACAATAAGTACAAACACCAAATTAGACAACAAATGTTTCTTAAAATCGTTATTAAATTGGACAAAGTGCACCCCAAAACGGATATTCTCGTGGTAAGGGTGATGGGAAAACCAAATTGCAGGCCTGTTAAACTGCGGGGGAAACTCACCACGGCCAGCCAACAGCCATTTCACAATAAGGCACTGTTATTAAAAAGATTAAAATTGGGGAAGACAAAGCAATTGCCACTCGCTGGCGATTTCAACATTAATACTTTTGTGCCCCGTTGGGTGAACGCATAGAAATTGATATTAAAAAGATTTTTTTAAAAAGTGCGCAGTTTGCATTGATGACGCAGCAGCAGCGCAGTTCGGCTCTCTCGCGCTGTTAACGCGCGCTGCTGCTCTCTTCTGGCTGGCCAACAATATGGCGTCGTCGAAATTGTGTCGTCGCCCAATTTAAAGTCATACGAAAACCATAAAGATTATTAAAAGCGCATTCGTAGGTTTCCTGAAACGCCCAGTAAGCGCAAATAGCTTTGATTTTCTGGCAGGGACTCGATTTTAGTCTTTCTCTCTATCGCTGCATGGGTCTTTTGTCTGGTCTCTCCCCTCGCTTCCCCTTCTCCGTCTTATTGTGTGTGCACTTTGCACTGTTTCTTTCTTATTTTGTTAACGGAGCGCTGTTATGTTAACATGGACGTGGTGTTTTTTCGTTGGAAATACGCATTTTCGACCATCTTGCTCGGTTCACATTTAATTTATTTCCTACTTGGCCTCTCTCCGTTGACTGGCGATTTCTTTTTAGCCTGTCATCCTCTTCCCCTCCCACCTCTTTCCCACCACACCAGCCAGCGGCGCTCTCTCTGCGTTAACAGTGTTCGTGATGGTTGGTGATGGGCGAGTGAGTTGGGTTTTGATCGTGTCACGAAAGATATTTATCTGATATACAGATAACGATGTAAATTAAATTAAAAGTAAAGATGTATGCAGACACATAATCTATAAAAGAAGACACTATTCTTTTTGGTAATAGTCTAGAAGAGCGGCCTGAGCACCAAAAACCGCGAAAAAATTACCCTCGATGGACCGCGATTTCTTAGGAATTTACGTGCAGAAGATTATTTGCGGAAATGCATTGTTCTCTTGTAATTGCATTTCAAAGTTGCGTGTTTTGCTATAAAAACAAAGTAGGATTTTCTAGGATTTTGAGGTGTTTTGTGTCATTTTGCTATAAAAAACATATGGGCTTTCCGTTTGTTGTCAAAATAATAAGCGTTCGAAAAAATTCGACAAAAATGTGAAATTGTTTTTATAGCAGGCCAGACCCCACAACCGCGAATTAATATCCTCGATGGACCGTGATTCCTTAAGAGCTTGGGCGACCATGGATGACCAACATATACATTTTTAAGATGTGTCTTAAGAAATCGCAATCCGAGGAGGATCAACCTTAGTCTTTATCAGTACCTCCTTATACTTGTAACTTATTTGTAATAGTAAATAAAATGCTATATAAAACTATGGTTAATGATTGGACAGTAAATATTTATTTATAAAAAATGCTGGTTAGTGGTACAGATTAAGCCTATTCTTTTTCATTGTCCGTATCGGTGGATTCCTGAAATTTAAGATAGTTAATTGTTAGTATTTAAAAAGAGATGGGAAATGCTAAAAAAGCGCCGGAGGCAAAAAAATTAAAAAAAAAAATTCCATCTCTTTTTAAATACTAACATCGCGTTCAGGATTAAACAATTCGCCCATTGCTGAGAAAATTGCATGGAATCTTGAGGTGTGGTTTGGGTGCCTTTTCAAAAAAGTGAATCGCGCTAGGTACCCTTGGTAGTGCTCCGTTTTCCGGCCATAGTGGGGAATGTTCTCCTTTAGATCACGCCATAGTCTCTATTCGCTGTGTATTGGCTCCCGTTTCAGGGTCGACGAAGTTTACTGAGTGATTAACGGTCATGTGAGAGTAGTTCGCATCCTTTAAACCATTGTATGACTTCCAGCAGTCGGATATAATTCTGGTTCCATTGGCGATGTTGGCCTCTATAATTGGAAGGAGCGTTTCCTGGCTACGGTCCTCCACAGGCACCAAAAAAAGTCACCGGTTTCTCTGCAAATTCCTCCGAAAACCCACTGGCCATCCACCACGCGACCGCAATTATACTTGCGCCGGCCAATTTTGGTTTCGTCAATTTCGACGGTTAAACCGTCTCCACCTATTATTTGTTTTGCGTTCTTCTTCGTCCAGCTAAGATAAATTTCCCGAAGAAAATTACTCCAATCAACCACAGAACAACTCCATGTCTCTGCAGAAATGCAAACACTTCTTCTTCGTCCATGGCAAGAAAGTCTTTATAAGAAATAGTGCACCCGTTGCAGGAATCCATAGTAAACAAAAATCAAAAGTGCCATTTCTGATTAAGCAACAAAAGCCTACTTGTTTTTTATAGCAAACCCATAAATTCCTAGAAAATGCTACATTGTTTTTATAGCAAAATGACACAAAACACCTCAAAATCCTACTTTGTTTTTATAGCAAAACACGCAACTTTGAAATGCAATTACAAGAGAACCATGCATTTCCGCAAATAATCTTCTGCACGTAAATTCCTAAGAAATCGCGGTCCATCGAGGGTAATTTTTTCGCGGTTTTTGGTGCTCAGGCCGCTCTTCTAGACTATTACCTTCTTTTTTAAATAAAATCATATTTATTTAGTTTAATATAATGAAAACCTGGATTCTAATAAGCATGTTTGCTCCATACCTAATATTTAAACTAATCAAAAATATTTAATGATCTCAAAAATAAGTCAAATGTCACGTATTTCACCCTACATTCTTTAAGCGACAAAGTTCAAGTCGCTCACGCTGCCACCGCCAGGTTCCCACCAACAGCGCGCTGTTAACTCACCACTCGCTGGCTGCCATCGCTGCGAGGTCCGCTCATTTCAGTTCGAGTGCTTGGAGACTTCACTTCGCGTTTGGAGGATCAGATCCACGTTGGTTTTTGGCTTTTGGCTTCAATTACCCACAACTGTCATCGTCAGCTCAGCGACTTGCTAACCCAACTAAACAACAAGATAATCACACTCCCGCGCTCCCCTCCCTCTCTCTCGGTCGTGCTTGTGCGTCCCGCGATTAAAGAAAGAAAGAATTGAAAGCACCAGGAAAACGGCAGCGTTTTCCTCTCGCAGCTGAGAAAAACCGCAGGACGCAGCTCAGCAGCGTCGTCGTGTGCGTTGTGCCCAAGAAAAAAGAAAGAAAAATCTTGAAACGTAAAAATCCTGTAATATCGCAGAAAAACCGTAAAGCGCCACAGTTAACGAAGGAAAACGAGGAAAACAACCATTTTGTGATATATTATTTGCCCTCCTCCTTCTGCAACGATCCCTGTGCAATTCTCTGTAAAAGAAAAATTAAAATAATTACTAGCAACCAATTGAATTTCTGCGAGACCAACATAACACACAAAAATTTCCAACAACTGTGATCCGAACAAAGCTCTAAGTTTTTGTTTCAAGCCTGTGTAATTTCCACCCGAAACGAATTGGAAAAAAGTAAGTGAATACGAACGAGAAAAAAAACGAAGAAAATTATAAATTATTTCATTTTCCTCTTCGCTCGCCTACGTTGCTAAACTCACCACCAGTCGATTCCCCACGCTCTCTCTCTTCACCACAGGCACCAATACACACGGGCATGCCTACGTCACATGTGCGTGTGTATGTGTGCGACTAGCGTTGCCATGTCGCGAAATACGAAAAGGAGAAACAATAAATAAATAGCAGTTAGGAGAATGGTTTAAAAGAAAAAGGGAAATGGCAAAAAACAACATTAATTTAAACTTAAAAAAAAGTTCCTAAAAAAATTTAAATAGAAGAAAAATTATAAAATATAATTTTAAAATTCATTAAAATCTTTTTTTTAGATTACAGTTTAGAAATAAAAGTTTGAACCCCAAAAATAATCTACAAAAAAGCTTGATTCTTTGTTCCCTAATCTCATTTTCATTCAGTGCAGCTGTCCAAGTTCTTTTTTTTCTTGGGTTCTTTGCCAACAAAATATTACGACTTGCCAAAAACCAAAACCCAACTACAAAATGTAGACTTTGAAGCGAAGGACGTCTCTGCTGATAAGTGGAAAATAAATGACTGATAGCTCAAGTACAAACACGCACAGAAATGTATATATACATATACTATGTATGTATGTACCCTTCGGCTATCTCCAAATTTAAATAACATTTTCCGCATTATCGCACTGACTGAAGAAATGTCTTTATCTGCACACTCCACAACTTGTATATTGTTTCTTTTTTGCCTGCAGTGCGTGACTGGAATTTTTGCTCTCTCACTTTTTCGTATGACTCATAGACGACCCGTATATATAGCCAACCCACGGCGAATTTGAATTATCTACGGATTAGGGATTACGGATTCTTATCAGCGAATGCATAGGGGTTTTTGGCTGCGACGATGGCAACCCTGGCAAATAGGATGGTCACCCAGCTGACTTTGTCATCGCGTTTCTGCTTGTTTTTCCATTTTTCTTGGTGACTCATTTTTGCCATTTGCTGTTTTTCTGTGCAAACTCCAGCTCACCTTGTAACAATTATAAAAAGTACATATTTGTTCGTGTGTTTGCTGTGTTTTTGTATGTTTTTTTTTTTCCTTTCTCATCCCACACGTGTCGTTTATTTTTTCTACGCTGATGCTTTATATAAAGACCGATCTGTTATCGCCTAGGGCACGTTTTCTGCCATATGCACTTTTTGATTGCCCACTATCAAGCACTTTTAGTGCCTGAATTAAACAAAATGACGACTTTCTTGAATCTTCTGCGGCCTATTTCGCCATTTTCAGTCGAATTTTGTCGAGATAACAGTCGGAAAAGATAGGAAACGAATCAAGCGCTAATTATTTGTGATTGGCTCGGTAAACAAACATGTTTTCAAGTGAATCGGAGAGCAAGACAAATAGTCGATGATATAGAGTAGGAAACAGTTGAATAAATTTCAGCTGATCTGCGATCAAGGTGGATTTCTCTTGAATTGGTACACGTAAAAAAATGGGACCATATTGTTAAAATTAAGTCGGGAAAAATATAATATTCTCCAAAAATTTTCGAAAAAGTTGAGATCAAACCATAGATGATTTTTTTGATCAAAGTTCATAGATTGAAAATTATTTTCTGCTTATCACCCTTGTGATTCATGGAACGATGTTGGCTGACACGAATGTTTGAGAACTTTCCCGATCCCGAGTGACTAATCCTGTTATTGGCAAAAATGGCTTTAAATTCTTGGCAAGTCGCACAACAACAACACGTGCCGTTGTCGCTAATATCTAAAATTATAAGAATTAAATTTCTAGCGAAAACACACACAAAGGCAGGCGTTCAAACAAGTTTCGAGTCGTTCGAAAAACAAGAATAAAAAATTGTTTGTGATGACGGGTGAAAATCAAATTGAGTTAATATACATAAAAACAAACAAATTGCCGCACACACACGTATTTATCTTATATACGAAAGACCCCTCCTTCCTTTAAACTGTTACGCCTTTTATTTTTTCATCGTTTTACGCTTCCTCTACTTTTTTTTTCTTTGTGGCTAAATGCTTTTTATATAAACAAGTAAAAATTGATAAGCGAACGAGTCGTCGGACGCGTGAGTGGCCGCGGCCTCATTTTCATTTGGTTTTTGTTTATAGGTCGCGTGTAAATGGATGCCGTACACCCCGTACAACACCCCTGCCACCATAAAAAACCGATGCCAGCCATCCACCCACCATATGGCCATACGATCGGCCAGACGATCGAAAACATCAGATCGGGTCGTACATTTCGTGCCTTTTCATTATCTTTTGTTGCCGTTTTCGAAATGTTTTGTGCAGAGCGCTATTTATAGTACCCTAATCCCCTATACTTGATCTTCTTTTTGTCGGCTGTCGTTGTTTTCTCTCTTGTATTCTTTTCTCGTTTTAAGTTATGCAATTTTTTTTATTGTTGTCGCTTCTTTCAGAAATACAACTGTGCTTTAAATAATAACAATACTAAAAAAAAAGATAATTTTTAAAATTTGTATGTAGAAATATAAGCTGTCTTACTGATTTAACTTAAATTTTATTGTAACAAAAACTGGTACTATTACCTTGAACGCTGCTGTATTTGCTGGGAACAGACTGTACTACTGCGTCGATTCCGATCTCGATACAATCCCATTGAAAATGGGCATTAAGTATGCACATATATCGGTTTTTTGGGAGCACAATTACCGCGATAAAATGCGGGCATAGATTTCAATGTAAATTAATTTGGTGTCTGCATAAATTGCTTTTCTTCATCAATCAACTTCTACATGTGTACTTTATTCCCAGAATTTTCTTTATCTAATGTGAAAGAGAGATGTGTCTGGTATACATAAATAAATTTGTATATATCTTTTGTTTATTGTCTGCGAGGAAAACAAAACGGAAATAGCTGAAAAACAAATAGAGCCCAGTATATTTGGGTCAAATAATAAATTATCTGTATTTTATTTTGAATGTTTTTGAGTGGCCCCCGTCATCAAAGTGATTGCGAATCCTTGAAAGCAAGTCCCTGTTGGCGAAATGAGGTCTCCAATGTTGCTACCAACTGTTCGTTCGACTTTAATGCAATTTTAATTTCCTGGCTTTGGGTATACTTATGAGGAAACCACAAAAACGAATAAACAAGAAATAATATAATACGTAAAATCGAGCCACAAAGAGAGGAGATAAAAGCCACCAAAAAAAACAACAACTACAACTGGCTCACCTTGTGGTCAAGAGCTACAAATTTTCCTTCTTTCCAACATCGATTTTCCCATTGCACCGTGTCGTCGTCTAACCTTTCTTTTGCCTCCCCACCAGTATTGTTATCTATTCCTCGCTAGTTTGTTTTTCCTTTATTTTCAATTTTCTCCAATTTGCTGTAGAGGTTTTTTTTTGTTTGGTGTGGGAATCGATTTAGGCGCTCGATTGGCTTTAGTGGGGAGCCACCAACCCCCCAAACCAGCCCACAAATTAAAGTTGTGTGCGCGCCCACCAAAAAAAAAAGAGGAAAAATAAGAGAAAAGCTTCTCCTTGTCGGCAGCAAATTTAAATCGTTGTTGCTGGATTTTCCTTGAGGTTTTTCCTTTATTTTTCCTTTGTATTTTCCCAATGCCTGTGGCGCGCATATTCACCACATCTGGCAACCATGGCGACCGTTAAACTCACTCCCACACTCGCACGAAAAACCGTTAGCCAGACAAAATGAAAAGCGAAACTTTTGGCCCAGCCTTTTCTTTTGTGCGAAGCGCTTCCTTGCTTCAGATGGTGATTGCAATGGTTATGGTGTTGCTGCCTCGCCCTGTTCGCTGGACTTGTTCTTTGTCTCGTGTCTTGGTCTCCTCCAGTTCATTGCCTCTTTATATTTACCAGAGGAGGAAAATGAGAAGAAAAGAAGCGAATCTGTAATGCATAAATCAATAAAATCAACGATGCACATGCTGTTTCTTCTTCTCTTGCTGGGTTCAATGTAAGCGACGCGCCACCGCCCAAAAACCAAAACCTCAACCAAAACCAAGTCATCATCTCATCTTGGCTGTGACTCAGTCCCCAGACTTCCCATCTTGTTGCGAATAATACCCTCGGTGTTCTTCTGACAAAGTTCAAGCGCCAACGGCAAAGTTCAATAGCACAAAATGGCAGTTGCAAAAGTATATTTCTCGTATTACAGTCGCACATCTCTCTAAAGGCAAACAAAGAGGAAAACTTGATTAATTAAAATAATGGGAGGGTTCCATATGGTTTCAATTATCAGCTATAATATCTGTGGTATGTTTATGATACCAGTTTCTAAACAATTTCAGGTAAAGTGCAAGTTAAACTTCCTTAATTTTATTATTTAGCCACTTGAGATCTTTATAACACGATTTTATTGGCAGACGTTAAGTTCAAGTTAACGAGGCTCGACTGTATTTTCATCTGGCTTAAATCCATCTCCATTTCATGACTCAAGGCTTCCGCATCTGTCATTGTTTTCGTTTTCGCATTTTCCGTCAGTCTGTCTGTCAGTCAGTCAGTCATTCAAATGACCACAGACTACACACTACAGTCGAGAGTAAATTTTCAAAGCTCAGCGAAGAAATATAAAGAGTCTTTGAACGGCCTTCGGTTTTCTACACATAAAACCAAAGCCAGAAGACATCGAGTGAGAAAGAGAGCCTTCTTCTTTGTCTTGAAAATATATATCTTACCTTTTTTCTTTTATTTTTTGTTTTTGAGTTTGTGTTTTGTTTGTTTTGCTCCTTTGTGCACTTACTTTTTGTGAATTCTATAAAACTGGTTTCTTTTCGGCGGTGTGTGCGGATTGTTAAATCGCGGCCATAACACCGGAGAGCTACGAACTCCATTCTCAATTCCATTCCGCTGGGGCCTCACAGTGCTGTCTGGCTTCAGTGATTTGATTAGCCCATAAAGCCGCGACGTTGCTGTCGAGGTACAGTGAACAACGCTCTGGGAGTTCAGGTTTTGTTTACTAATTTACCTATT